CTCTTGGCCGCTTCTAGCTGCTCATGACAGGGGCGTGAGATCACACTGGCAAGCCTGGATGTAGCAAAGGCAATGTCAGGTCGCATGTGGTTAGCCGCATAGTTGAGTGCCCCAACCATGGAATGAAACAACTTCCTGTCACTTTCACCCACCACCTCCTCATCAGCACAGGGCTCCACAGTGAAACCCGAAGGTAGTGAGGTGGCTTGCTTTCCTCCATCTTGCAGCCCATACTTCTCAGCCAGCCCCTCACAGTACTTCCTCTGGTGCAACCTCAACACTCCCTTGTCAAGGTCTCTCTCCACATGCATCCCAAGGTAATACTTCACATCTCCCATTTTCGAGCACTTGAACTGCATCTCCAGCATCTCCTCCACACGCTCAATCATTGCAGCCGACTCAGAGAAGAGAAGGATGTCATCCACTTACACCACGAGCATGAGGAATCGCTCCTTCTCTTGCAGCAGGAACAAGCTGTGATCACACTCGCTCTTCTTGAAACCCCTAGCCAGCAGTGTCTCCTCCAGCTGGTGGTACCATGCGCGAGGAGCCTGCTTAAGGCCATAGATGGCCTTCTTGAGCCTGCACACCCTGCCACTCCCATCATCCAACCCCTCAGGCTGCAGCATGTACAGCTCCTCTAGGATGATCCTATTGAGGAAAGTGTTAGAATAACGAGAATGGTGCATTAGGTGAATGGGGGAGGGTACAAGTAGAATGTCGAGAGATATTCTGTACCCCCTAAGGCTAAACCCACTACAGCCTATAGAAATATAAACACATATGTTTTGACACACCCCCACAGGCAAAGTGGGGGATAGCAAGAGCAAGCAATGGTCACAAGACCAGTCAAGAGAAGAAGCAAAGCAAAGTAAGCTCAGGGTGGATCACAAAGTCACCACACAGTCCGAGCACAAGCAAAGGGCCACAAGGCCAGTTCACATGCAGAGTTATATAAAGTGAACAAACAATACAGTGATCATACCGTAGCAAGTGCAAGCATGTAGGTATATATATAGATCACATGACAAGCAGATTCAGGCAGTAAGCAAGTGAGGCAAAGAAGGCACAAGGCCTAACACAGTAACAAAGCGCTGATGATCACCAGGCGGAAATGCCTTGGTGAAGACATCAGCAGTGTTGGCCCGAGTGGCCACGTACGCAAGACGAAGCTGGCCACGCTGCTACAACTCTCGAGCAAGGAAGTATCGCAGAGCGATGTGCTTCGTTCTGTGCTCCAGTCTGTGCTCCTGACACAAGGCAATCATGGCCTTGTTGTCTACGTACAGAACTGGTGGCGAACGAGGCTGCTCTCCCAAGTCAGTCAGCAGGTAGGTGAGCCAGCGTAGCTCCTGAGCAGCCATGGCCCCGGCGTAGATCTCTGCCTCACAACTGGAGCTGAGAACCGAAGACGAGCGGGTAGACCGCCAAGAAACAGAGCCAGAACCGAGGCTGAAGGTGTAACCCTGTGACGACCGCTGCGTAGCTGAGTCATCAACCCAAGAGGCGTCTGCGTGACCGGTGAGGACAACTGGACCCCGTCCTCCAAGCACAAGCCTCATGCCTGACGTTTTGCACAAGTAACGCAGTACCCTCTTCGCAGCATCCCAGTGCACCTTTCGGTGCCTGCCGGGAGCCACGTAACGAGCCAGGAGGCTGAGAGGGTATGCGAGGTCGGGTCGAGTGCACGTCATCAGGTACATGAGGCAACCCACAAGCTCTGGGTACGGACCACTCGGCTCTACGGACTCGTCCGAAGGTGGACCTGAGAGCGAATGGCTGGTAGACAGAAGAGTGAGCTGTGGCGAGGAGTACTGGAAGCCGAAGCGCTGAAGGACCTGGTGCACCATGTGTGACTGAATCAGTGTGATGGTGCGCCGTGCTCTGTCCCGGGTGCTCTGCAGGCCAAGATAGCTACGCGGTTCACCCAGGTCAGTGCAGGTGTGTCTCTTCTGCAGCTCGGACTTCACAATGGTCAGTGCCTCAGTGTCAGCAGTGGCAAAGACGAGGTCGTTGACGTACACGAGGATGTAGAACGGTGGCAGCGAGGTGTCGGTGCGTAGAAACAGTGACGGGTCTGCTGTAGAAGGAGCAAACCCAAAAGCCGCAAATGTAGTCCTCAGTGTGTCGTGCCACTCGCGAGGCGCCTGGCGGAGACCGTAGACTGGCCAGCGGAGGCTCCACTGAGTACATGCAGGAAACGTCCCAATGAAACCAGGTGGTCGGCGCAGCCAGATCTCCTCGTGTAGGTTGCCCTGCAGGAAGGCTGTACTGAAGTCCAAGGAGTGCAACTCGTAGTCACGCTGAGCAGCGACGTGCAGCAACACCCGAAGAGTAGTCATCTTCGGGGTGGGGGAGAAGGTCTGGAAGTAGTCAACTCCCTGTCGCTGGCTGAAGCCTCGAGCAACGTAACGCGCCTTGAAGGTAGGCGGAGAACCCGGCGGCCGCTTCACCGTGAAAATCCACATGCCATCGACTATGTTCGCCCCAGGTGGGGGAACCTCGTCGACGTAGGTGCCTGTGGACTTCCAGTATGCCATCTCGGCATCCATAGCTGCCTGCCACTGAGAGGAGTAAGGACCCGTAATCGCCTCTGCGTAAGAGGGCGGGGTCAGGATGTCTAGAGTTCCGGGTCTCCCTCAGGGGCAAGCAGCATGGAAGCGAAACGATGTACAGCAGCTGCAAGACACTCAAAGTTTTCCTGCCTGTCCTCAAGGACGTCCGTGCCAAGAGCACACTCACCCCCGACGGACGGAGGACTGGCAGACACAGACTCAGCAACGAGAGCAGTGGCGTAGTCGAGACGGCATGAAGCAGCAAAGTCAAGCAGCTCAGCAACGATAGCAGACGCAGCAAAGGACTCAAAGTACGGGTCAGTGACAGCAGTGGCAAGGAGACGAGCGACAGTGGGACTAGCAGCACGCGCTAGGTCAGACTCAGGGTCAGGGACCTCAGGAAGAGAGGACTCAGGAGGAGCAGGCAGAGGAACACGCAGTGGAACAGAGGAAGGACGGAGTGCCATAGCGTGCGTGCCGGGGACAGGAGGAGGACGCGAACGAGGAGCGCGATGAGCAGTGCGAACAGGCGAGACAAGACGAGACGCAGGCTCACGACGCTCTGTAAGACCGTCGGACTGCTCAGTGTAAGGAAAGGGAGCAAGCAGTGGGGAGGCTGGCTGTAACGGCGGCTGCGACTGGTCAGGGGGTGGACACAAGAAGGGAGGAGGAAGACCAATAGACGGGACACCAAGAACCTGCTGAAGCAGGGGAACGAAGTACGGTCGCGGTCGCACAGTATCTCCAGCACCTGCAGCTCCAGGGTCCAGAGCTCCAGCTCCTGTAGCTCCAGGGCCTCCGGCGCCAGTGCCTCCAACTCCAGCTCCTGCAGCCCCAGCGTCTCCTGCACCAGGGCCCCCAACTCCAGCTACTCCAGCTCCAGCGCCTACAGTGCCAGCTGCTCCAGGCTCCGTAGGGTTTCCAGCTACAGCGCACCCAACACCACCAGTCCCGACAGCTCCAGTAGGAACAGCAACACCTCCAGCTCTAGTGTCCCCAGCCCCTCCTACTCCAGGAGCACCACTCCGACGGTGCGGGCGCCGAACAAGCCACTCACGCGGCTGCTGCGAGGACAGTCGCGGCGAAGCACCAGCAGGACCTCCAGACGAAGCAGCACCCCGAGGCTCAGCACCCCCAGACTCCACACCCTCCGTCTCAGCACCCCCAGGCTCAACACCCGCAGGCTCAGCACCCCCAGACCCAGAACCCTCAGACCCCGCACCCCCCGGCTCCGCACCCCCAGACGCAGCACCCCCAGACGCAGCACCTGGAGCAGCACCTGAGACGACAGCTACCTGAACAGGCACAGTACCAGGGAGAGGGTCTACCTGAGACACTCCTGAGGGAGCAGGACCCTGGGGCGGGAGGGGGTCTACCGGAGGTGGACCGGGAGCAAGGAAGAGCGGCGGGGGCGGGGAGGGGCAGAGCGGTAGGGGAAGAGACGGTAGAAGGGAACCGACTCGTCGAACGTGACGTCCTGAGACGGGAGGACACGGCGCGAGGTGGGGTGGTAAAACTGCCAGCCAGGCGCGTCAGGGACAAAGCCAAGGAAGACGCAGGGAATGGCGCGGGCGGAGAGCTTGTCCGCGGATGTATAGCGAACAAAGGCACGAGAACCTCAGACTGTTGTTCAGGATCCGTCACTTTGAGAGCTTACGACGAACTCAATTCTCAACTAAACGCAAATTCGCTCTGTAGGATTGTGCGCCTTAGCCTAAGCTACCATCTCCAAGTTGAATTAGTCGTTAAGATGGTCTATAGAGTGAGAACCAAGTAAAAACGTCCAGCAGCTGCATAACTAGATTGGTAGAGGAAGTACAAACATTAAGGCATGGAATGTTGGAGTTGGGGACTCCAAGAGAACCATGAGAGGGAAGGGGTTCTCCAAGAGCTTGGGAAGGATGGTAGGAACCTTCCTAGCTGCAAGGATGCAACCCTCATCATGAGGTCCTTGAGGTGTCACATGCAAAATCCAATCTAGTTGGATTTTGCCTAGGTGTTGCAACATTTGCAACCCATGCTAGAAACTTCTAGCCACCCCAATCCAAAAGTCAAAGTTGCCTTCCCTAACCATCCAACCAAAGATCCTTTTATAGTCATGTACCAAGTAATCACCCAAATTAGATATAACCTTAAAAGGTAATAAGAAATCCAAGTCTTGGAAATCTTGTAACTTGGGCGATCTTGGTATCGTTGGAAAGCTCTGGATTTCTCCTGCATGATCAAGCATTTAAACTTGGAGAAAACACAGAGATGGTAAAATCCAACAGCCATGCACAATGACAAATGCTCATGCAAACAATGCACGCATGAATAGCACGAGCACTCGGCAGGACGTTAGGATGACATGCACTCAAAATGACGTGCATCCAACAAACTCCCCCTCAGACTAACGGAGTGCATGCACACACACTCACACATGCACTCATGACACAGCTGCCCACACTAGTGCAATGCCATGCCACAAATCTTAGCACACTTCCAATGTGCGCTCTCGAGAAGTCTCTTGGTGAGAAAATCTGCCGCCTGCTTGCTAGCCTTCACATGGTGAAGCTCAACAATACCCTCCTTCACCATCTGCCTCACCCAGTGCCACTTAATCTTCATGTGCTTGTTCAGCCCATTCAGGATAGGATTATTGGCCATGCCAATAGCAGCCTCGCTGTCGGAGAAAAGTGGTGTAGGTCCCTCCTGTTCAGCTCCCATGTCCTTTAGCAGCTTCCTCAGGAGCACGATCTCCTTGATGGCATGGTACATCGCCATGTACTCTGCCTCTCCGGAAGACTGAGCAATCTCACTCTGCTTCTTGGACCTCCAGCTCACTGGTCCACCTCCGACCATGCACACAAAGCCGTCAACTGATGACTGATCCTCATCCTCTGAGGCCCATGTAGCGTCGGTGAAGCACGACAGCTTCAAGGTTCCAGGCGTGACCCCATCTGCTCCAATCTGTTTCAGCTAGCCGCCAGCTGAAAACTGAACACCAGCAGATGCCGTTGATCCGAGGTAGCGCACCAAGCGCTTTGCCACCTCCAACTGCTCCTCAGTGGGCCGCTGCACAACTCTGGCCAGCTGCCCCACTCTGAATGAAGCATCAGGTCGCGTATGCACAGCTGCATACATCACACTCCCAATGAGTGACTGGTACTCCTTCCGCTGCTCATCCTCAAGCACATCATCCTCCTCAGCTGCCTTCTTCAGCTTGAAGCCTGCAGGGAACGGTGTCATCACAGTGCGACCCCCAGTCACACCATAGCGCTCCATGACACCAGAGATGTAGTGTGACTGATGCACCTTCAGCCACCTCCTCTCGACATCCCTCTCAATCTGCAGCCCCAAGTAGTAGTGGACATCCCCCAGCATCTTGCACTTTAAGTTGTCCATCAGCAGCTTCTGTGTCCTCTCAATCTGCTCCATGGAAGGTGAGAACAACAGTATGTCGTCGACATACACCAGCAGCAAGAGCAGCTGCTCCCCCTCTCCAAGCAGAAACAAGCTGTGATCCGCTTGGGACGTCTTGAAGCCTCCACTCAGCAGCACCTCCTCCAGCTTCTCGTACCAGCACCTGGGCGCTTGCTTAAGGCCATAGATAGCCTTCTTGAGCTTGCACACCCGGCTGGTCCCATCCTCATAGCCGTCGGGCTGCGCCATGTAGATATCCTCCAGCAGTATTCCATTGAGAAATGCAGTGGTGATATCCATCTGCTTCACGTGCCATCCCTTCACAGCGGCGCCAGCCAGCACAGTCCTCAATGTCACTGGCTTAACAACGGGAGCGAAGATCTCCCCGAAGTCGACCTTCTCTTTCTGCTGAAACCCCTTGGCGATCAAGCGGCTCTTGAACTGCTCCAACGCAAGCTCCACTCTTCACCTTGAAGACCCACTTGCTGCTGATCGGCCGTCGCCCCTTGGGTAACTCAACAAGCTCCCAAGTCTCATTCTCAATGAGACTGTTGAACTCCGCATCCATGGCAGCCTTCCACTCCTCCTTGGCGAAACCCCTTGGCGATCAAGCGGCTCTTGAACCGCTCCAACGCAAGCTCCACTCTTCACCTTGAAGACCCACTTGCTGTTGATCGGCCGTCGCCCCTCGGGTAACTCAACAAGCTCCCAAGTCTCATTCTCAATGAGACTGTTGAACTCCGCATCCATGGCAGCCTTCCGATTTCCGCCAAGGGAGTACCGGGATCTGCCACATCCGCTTGTGGACATCCCCTTTCCACTACAGGTCCCAAATCAGCCGCTCATCGTTGTAGGCACGATAGCGCTCCGAGCCAATCGTCTCGGTGTTCACACCCGCATCTCCCAACCGGCCGGTAGAAATCAGGTTCGCGCACAAGTCCGGCATCCACAGCACGTTCTTCAGCCCCACGAGCTCTCCATCCGCTCCCATGAACTTGGCGCATCCCATGCCCATGACCTTGGCCTTGGCGCCCGTCGCGGATGTGACTGTAGAGATGGGTGCGGGCTGAATCTCATCGAGTAGGTCCGCACGAGGAGTCATGTGCCAAGAGCTCCTGGAATCTATCACCCAATGGGTGAGGGGATGTAGGAGAACCTTGGCAGCCATAGCAAGGTCGGTTGCGCCTTCGTTCACGAAGAAGAAGAACCTGGCCTTCCGCTCCTCAGATTTGCCACCTTTCTCCTCATCCTTCTCCTCTCCACTAGCTCCCATGACTCCCCCACTCCTCTTGCCACCATGCAGGTTGCTCGATGAAGGCGGGGTCCAATCCTTAGGTCGTTGGTAGCACTTCCGCCAACGATGTCCGCGCTTCTTGCAGTAGAAGCACACCTCCCCTTGACCCCCGCCGCCATCCTCCTTAGGGTAGTCCTTGTTCTTGCCCTTCCACTTCTTCTTGAAGCCACTCTTTCCACCTCCAAATCCATAGCCAGCCCCCTCCTCCGAGCGCTCCACACTCCGCCGCCGCAAGTCCTCCTCAAGGATGCGCGCGCGAATGTAATCCACGCTCCACTGGGGCTGTTGAGAGTTGAGGTTGATCGCTAGGGAAGACCACGACTCCAGCAGCCGTATCACGATCTCCACGCATTGCACGAGCTCCGGGTACACCACACCGCCGCCTTGGAGCTTCGTGAAGATGTCCCGCATCTCATCCAACACCGGTTGCATCGGCTCTCCATCAATGAACTTGATGTCGCGCAGCCGCCGCGCGAGTAGCACGATGCCGGTGGCATGTGTCGGTGAGTGCACATCCAGAAGCTTCCTCCAAGCCTTGGGGCCACACTCTGGATCACCTAAGAGGTCCTTGATGTGGTCAAGTTGTCGTCCGCCAACCGCTTGCACCATGAGCATGTACGCGTCGAACGATCGCTTCATCCATGCTCCTTTCAGCACCGCGGCCTCCGGCATCTTCTCCTTCCCCTCCACCAGATCCAATAGCTTGTATTGGGTATACATCAGCCTCATGCGGAAACTCCAGTGCTCATAGTCCTCCCCCATGAATTTCTCAATAGAGAAAGCTTTCACAGGATCCACGGTAGTAGGAGATGGTGTAGAAGAAGTTGGTAGCGTAGGGTTGGCTGGTTGGTGAGTCCCCAATCCACCACCAGCAACTCCCCCCTGCTCTCCAGCCTCTCTAGCTCCAGCCATCTCGCCATTAGCACCTCTAGAGTCCGTTCCAGTCATATTGAGGCCTTATGAACGGTGGAAACTTGAGAAATCGTTTGGAGAGAATTCTGCCAGAAGTTTCGATTCTACGAAAAACGTCGTCGCGGACTGGATACTTCGAATTAGAACGCGGTTTGACCACCAATCGAACGTTCGCAAGCAGAGATACTAGAAACTGGTCGCACTCGTCAACATTGGTTGAGAAGTCACGACGATTCGTCGTCTCAAAGTCGACTACCCGCTCTGATACCACTTGTTGTTCAGGATCCGTCCATTTGAGAGCTTACGACGAACTCAATTCTCAACTAAACGCAAATCCGCTCGGTAGGATTGTGCGCCTTAGCCTAAGCTACCATCTCCAAGTTGAATCAGTCGTTAAGATGGTCTATAGAGTGAGAACCAAGTAAAAACGTCCAGCAGCCGCATAACTAGAATGGTAGAGGAAGTACAAACATTAAGGCATGGAATGTTGGAGTTGGGGACTCCAAGAGAACCATGAGAGGGAAGGGGTTCTCCAAGAGCTTGGGAAGGATGGTAGGAAACTTCATAGCAACAAGGATGCAACCCTCATCATGAGGTCCTTGAGGTGTCACATGCAAAATCCAATCTAGTTGGATTTTGCCTAGGTGTTGCAACATTTGCAACCCATGCTAGAAACTTCTAGCCATCCCAATCCAAAAGTCAAAGTTGCCTTCCCTAACCATCCAACCAAAGATCCCTTTATAGTCATGTCCCAACTAATCACCCAAATTAGATATAACCTTAAAAGGTAATAAGAAATCCAAGTCTTGGAAATCTTGTAACTTGGGCGATCGTTGGAAAGCTCTGGATTTCTCCTGCATGATCAAGCATTTAAACTTGGAGAAAAAACAGAGATGGTAAAATCCAACAGCCATGCACAATGACAAATGCTCATGCAAACAATGCACGCATGAATAGCACGAGCACTCGGCAGGACGTTAGGATGACATGCACTCAAAATGACGTGCATCCAACACAGACCCAGAACACCGACGCATCGCCAACCTTCCCCGTCCAACGCAGTGTGGGTGAGATCTGCAGCAAGGAGACACGGGCCCAGAGGTTGAGCTGATGCGCAGCGTACCGGACCGTAAACGGCCACAGAAAATGGGGAGCAGCGGCATGGATCATGGAGGTACGAGCGACCTCCATGATTAAGCCAATGCGGCGCCCAGCAATCCCATTTTGCTGAGGGGAGTCCGGAAGCGTGAACGACTGGGTGATGCCCTCCCCACGACAAAAGTCCCGCAAGAGGTCGGAGGAGAACTCACCACCTCTGTCAGAGTGCAGACGCAGGACAGGAAGGTCCTGGCCGAACCGCTCGCGCAGCTGGAGACGGACTGTGCGGATCCAAGGGATCAATAGAGCAAAGACCTCACCCTTGCTGCGCAAGGGGAAGACTGTGGTGTACCGCGTGTAGTCGTCAACAACCAGCTAAAAATAGCGCTCGCGGCCCTGTCCACTGACGCGGGCTGGGCCCCACACGTCCATGTGGAGGGTCTACAGCGGAGCAATCGTCGGGGGGAACGAGGAGGAGTGAGGAGCGGCGCGCTGCCGCCCCTCGACGCAAGGAAGACAGGGCGGGGCAGGCGAGGGCGGTAAGGGAGGCAGAGACCCGGGGAGACCAGAGACAAGGAGACGGGAGTGCATGCCACGAAGGCGTGGCAGGGAGGGGTGACCCAGGCAGTAGTGCCAAAGAAGAGTCTGGTGCGACAGGAGGCGACACGAGCAAGAGGCGGCTACCTGACCTGACGCGGACACCTGAGCAGACGCAGCGACCTGAGGAGGCTCGGTAACCAGCGTGTACAGACTCGACCTTGGCCGACGAGTGAACGTAGCCAGGTGACGCCCCGTCCGTGTGCACGTGCAGATCAACACACGCCGACCCCTAGGAGTGGTGGTAGTGACCATCGCATCCTGAAGGTCAGCAGTACTCACCAAGTTCGTAGAGAACGAGGGGAGGTGAAGACCTGACAGTGAGCCGGACGGAACCGCCGGACACGAGACGACAGTGGAGGAATGGGCAACGACCGGGCCCCCAGAGGGGTCAGCCAGTCTGACCGGGACAGGTGCAGGGAGAAGAGTAAGAGTGGTGCTGTCACGAGACTGGGTACGGGCCTATCGCGGGCTAGGTACGGGCCAGGCGCGGGCAAGAGACTGGGCCGGGCGCGGGCTAGGTACGGGCCTATCGCGGGCGAGGTACGGGCCGGGCGCGGGGCTAGGAACGAGGTAGCAGGTGGTGGGCCCAAAGGTAGCCTACTCTAATTCCATGTTAGAATAACGAGAATGATGCATTAGGTTAAAGGGGGAGGGGACAAGTAGAATGTCGAGAGAAATTCTATACCCCCTAAGGATAAACCCACTACAGCCTAGAGAAATATAAACACATATGTTTTGAGAGAAAGCAGTTGTGATGTCCATCTGCTTGATCCTCCATCCACGGTTTGCAGCCGTTCCCAACATCACCCTTAGTGTAGTCCCTTTCCCCACAGGAGCAAAGATCTCATCAAAGTCCTTCCCCTTTGTCTGCTGGAACCCCTTAGCCACAAGCCTTGACTTGTACTGGGTCAGCTCCCCATCAGGTCCATACTTGTGCCTGAAGATAAGCTTCGAAGAGATTGCCTTCTTCCCAGGAGGCAGCTCACACTGCTGCTGCTGCTGCTGCTCCACCTCAGGTTCTCCCCCATCTTCAGTCACCCCAGAGATCTCCTCATCTGAGACAGTGACTTGCACTTGCCTCGAAGGCCGCTGCACCTCATCGACCTCAATGATCAGCGGTGTAGTAGGAAGTTTCCTCTGCTGCTGCTTCCACTCCTTGAGGTACAAGGACTCAAGGAACTTCACATCCCTCGAAATAGTCAGCTTCTGGCTGGTCAAGTCCCACACCAACCAGCCCTTGTGATCCTTGGCAATCCCGAAGTGTACTCCCCATCTCCCAGAAGCCTCCAACTTTCCCCTCTTCTCCTTAGGCACATGAAACACCACCATGCAGCCGTAGGCTCTCAGCATGTTGACTGCTGGTGCACTCCCATAACACTTGGTGTAGGGGACCCAC